ATCAAAGGTGTTTGTTGCAATGCTGGTACCTTGGAGGCTGTACTGAGATGGTACGGGGCTCTTCAGGCAGTGTCAGGGCTGGGCATGACGTAGAAAGACTTAATGACAAGGCCGGAACCATCAAAGCAAGGCAACATGAAGAAGGCCAAGCCAAGGGAAAGCCAGGAGAGGGGCAGGGGATGCTCATGGCACAAAACACAAGTCAAGGGATGTATTGATAATGTCTAATTTCAGTGGGAAATGCTGACACACCTTAGCTGCATTTTCTCTGTACTGTCAACAGGAATTAATCTGAAACATTTTTAGGGCAAAGGGCTCCTAAATGCTGCTGGGTATTTGCAGAAGTAACAGATGACATGCGGCTTAGGGTACAGCTGCTCCACCCAGCCTAGGCATAGCACCTGTATGGATGAGCAGTGTCTGAGGAGTGCTGGTGTGATTTACATAGGGGTTTATTGCAATACATCTCCACCTTCTCTGCTTGAGCTGTACAAGCCAGCTCTGTACTAAGTCCAGATCTAATAAAACCTTTATTTTCTTTGACAAACCTGTTAGAAAAGCAAGTGGCAATGTTTAATGCAAACAAAGCACTAGGACAAAGTGTGGGATCATTTGGTTTTGTTTCTAGGTAGGCAAGAAAGTGAGTATTACCAGTAAAAGCATCCATGCTGATTTGTCCCTGGGCCAATTGCTTGTATTTTGCTTTGAACAAAACACATTCCCCGAAGCTAGACAAAGCTGCAGCTTAATTCCTAGCTCAGCTTCTAAGGGTCTTCCAAATCAAAGGTGTGCCAGCTGTCCTAGGCTGTCAGAATCAGCGTGAACTGTGGTCCACAGCAACCTCTCCTACGCTAAGAATTTCCAGTCCTCATTGAATTCTAATGTGCAAGAGAGATGGGGTGTTAGGTGTGGAATGGTACCCATAAGCTGACTGTGAAATCTTTAATGTTTTACTAAGCACAAGTTGATTTCAAAGTCAGCTGAACTAGCCTAGAGCCCCATGACCTTGTGAACGTCTTTAGATCTCACCTGTTTTCCTGCATTTGCAGCTGCTACCTGTAACAAGTCACAATACAGGTTTCTCAACTGTCTGCGGGTATGGAGGCTTCGACACAAGCTCCTTCACTTGACCTGTAGCTAAGTCCTGTAGGTAAGAAGTAGGTTTCAGACAAGCTCAGGTGGGATTTACCACGAGAGGGAGACATCATGCTTACAGCATTCCCTGAACACATCCACCTGAGCGGGGCTGCCTAGCACGGTGTTTTGTAATGTGTCAGCAGATGCAGCTACCAGTGAGGCAGAGGGAAACGTGGACCTTGATTGTTGCAGTAGGTGCCTCTGATAGACAACAGATACTTCTCTTGTGGGTAGTCATCATCTTCCGAGCTTCTGCAGCATTACTGACATTCACAGAGCCACAGAGCACATGGGAAATTGAAGAGTGAATCTGCTAGCAACAGGATGGCATCTGTCTGGGCCTCTCTGGGTCAGGTCACAGAGATCCCAGTGTAAGCAGAACTGTATAGCGCCAAAGGGAACGTCCCAGATAGCCCCAGCTGCTTGGCAAGGCCATTCTCTGTGCATACTGCAAACAGCCATGACAAAGGCTGAGTTACACCCTGCAACCAGCTTCAGCAGGCCAGGAAGGCGGGAATGTTTGCACAGAGCTGTGAAAACACAGAGCTGTGAGCAGCCGACCGCTATGGCTCCAGGAGAGCTCGGACGCCTCCTCAGCACTGCCCAAGAGATGTCATGGGAGGAAAGGCTGAGTCTGTGTTTTGGATGACTTCATTTGTCCTCCAGATTGCAAAGACTCTTCCCCTAGCTGGAGCTCTGTTTTCGTTGGGGGAGTGAAAAAGCTGCTTCATCATTATGATCTCTGTGCAGCGTCCTGTTGATAAGATCAGCTAACAGCACTGAAGGAAAACTCTAGATTCAGGCCTGAAATATAAAGTGAACAGGGCCTATTTGTTTAATTTGAGCTTCTAAGGTTTAAATCCCAAAGGAAATTAAATTAGGTGCCTAGAGCAATGGCAGTCTGTCATGTTTATTTGCTGGGAATGTCACCTTTAATATCATGCACATATAACGTGTGTGCGTTAATGTAATGGGGTATCATACTGTGCAGGAGCAGGCATGCTACAAGAGCTGGAAATGTGAGATATTGTGAGCGAGGGAAGCTGAGATGGGATCAGATTTATTCTCATCCTTCTCCACAGGAGCAAACACCAGCATGAAGCTGTTCTGCTGACTGCAGGTGTGGATGTCGTCCTGATCTATGAGCAGACCTTAGTGTTCTTGGGTCATTTAAATTGGGCTACTTCTAAAAGGAGAAATGTTGTCTGGATGCAAATCCAGGACTGCCGTGCTTCTTACTTCAAAGCAGCTGGTGTGCTGGGAACGTGTGCCTTCTGCATCCTCAAGAGAGTTCTGGAGTGCTGCATGTTGCCTGAGCTGAGGGATCCTTTAGCTTACCAATTTGGTTGCACCCGTGCTTTAGAGATTCCCTTCTATTCCAGGAAGGAGGACAAGTTTCCCCAGCTGCATGGGGCTACATAGGAGGCTTTGGGGTGGTTTGTTTCTGACTCAGACTGCTGCAAGTTGCTGAGGATGGGCTGTGTGTCACACACTGTTTGAATGTCACTGCAGCAGTTTGTCACTGCAGCCAGAGACACTTGCCCTCCACCAAAGTTAACTATCTATGCAGGGCTTGCAGAACAGCACTGCAATCTTTTCTCAGCCTGCTCCAAAGCACAAGCTGCCGCCGCTTCGATCTCACAGCCGCAGTCCATGAGACAGCTGAGCTGCAGACTGCTGTCCCACTCTGCCTGTCAGACCCTTCAGGGAGCCAGTTCAGCTCACTAAATCAGTGGAAGTTGTTGTTTGGTTGCTGGGTTTTTTTTCAGCTGGATTAACAAAATCCACTGAGAGGGGATGGTGAGCTGCAGATGGGCTTGGCTCAGGGGATCACACCCCACACTGGTGCTTGTCGCAGTGCTCCACATAGGCTTGTCTTCACGCTGCAAGTCTGTGGCTTAGCCAAGACCTGACTGGTCCCCCATTTGCTCCCTCGAGCCCTTGCTGCTCACCCCTGCTCACCCTGCGTTGTTTTCCAGCAGCAGAAGAGCAGCTGGCTGCCTCCACATGTGGTTCCCATTTCTTCCCTGCCTCTGGCACCTTGGGAGCGCCCAGGGGTCTTCCTGCTGCGCTTCTCTTCCAGTCCCCCTGCCAAAGATGTGACTCCTCATTCCTGCTCTCTCACCCATCCCAACCTCTGGCATTTTTGCTCATCCGTGGAGGGCTGAATATTCATTTCCTCTTTGCCTGATTGCTGTGAATACCAATTCCTCCTCCTTTTTCCGGCTGCTCTGTACATTTTGATGTCTGCCAAATTGTTTTCATTCCCTCGCCCCATTGCAGGCTGCACCTCCGCAGAAACTGATCTGCTCTACTCAGAGCCCCAGCTCCCCACCCAGCTATCCCTCCTGGGCTGAGCGATCAGGTTGCCCTCCTGTCTCTGACACGGACAGTCAGCTTCCTCATTCTGCAAGCAGCCAACAAACGAGTGTCTCCAGTTCAACAGGCAGAAAGTTACAGCCTCCTGCAAGGAGACTGCAGCAGTTTGCAGTGGCACTGCGTGTTTCAGTGCAATGTTTCTCAGCTTGCCAGTCTGCAGATTGGTGCCAGGTTGCAGAGTTCTGTCCAAAGCAGCAAGCTCCTGGCTGCTAGCTGAAGCAGAGCTTTTTCCAGGCTCAAGGTATGAACAGAAAGTCCTGATGGGCTACCTGCATCCAGGCTGAGCAGCTCAGTCATAAACCCTGGCCTGAAGTCTGCTGCAGGTTGGAGCTAAATGAGGAGGGAAATTAGTGGAGAATGGAGGCCACAGTTCCCTCGTTCCCCAGGAAAACAGTGTACAGTGTTGGCAGGGCAGCAGGGGTAAATGGAAGAGAATTCAGATACATCATAGCTCTTGAATCTGGATTTGGTGTTTTCAGATCAAGTTTCTTACTACCAAAGGAAGAAAGGGAGATCAGAGTACTCCCTTTCCTCTAGCCAACAGTCCTGCTGGTATGACCAAAACACAAGCCAGCAGCTTCAGCTAAGTAGTCCACGTTGTCCAGGCAGTCATGCACTCCCTGCTCCCATTCCTGGCTCCAAGGAGCTAGAAGTGGTTTCCTGCAGGGCCATGCGACAGCCAGGCCAACCCTCTTCCAGCCCAGGGCAGGAAGAGACAGGATAAGGAAGGGGTCTGAGTATGATGACTGCTTTGGGGATGGAGAGCAGTGCCAGAAACAGAGGAAAGAGGGGAGCGAAGGAGGGAAGGGAGATGCAGAGGGAAAGAAGCAAACCTGTAGGTTGAAATAGGAATAACATGCTGGGTTCTCTGTAACTCAACTCCCAGGAATGCCACTCCAACACACTCGCGTTGCGTGGGGATGTTGTCCCCATCCCACACTGCATTTCCATTCCTATTCCAAATCTGCTGACTGCTGGGGACTCCAGCCTTTGCATCTGCTGCAAAAAGAGGCAGAACATGTCTGTTTTGGCTATTATGTGCCTTCCTAAAGAGAGTGCAGGTTTTTCTCCCCATGAGTGCAGGGTTTGCTCCCCAGTGTTCCTCTGCTTTATATAACTTGTGGTCTTCATGGAGCTCCACTTCCAGAAATCAGATGAAGGCAGCACTGTCTCTTATTGCCTCTCTAGCAGTTGTTATCTTGACCCCTTTTCCTTCTTCCCTACTCTGTCTTTCTAAAGCTGGGCCTCTAATTTTAGTCTTAGGAAGATAATTGAGGGCAGAAAAAGATTGCCATATAATTTTAACATTTTTAGTGTGGTTGAGGCAGGAGGCAAAGTTAGGAGCTCCTTGCCCTTAAGCCGATGTGTTGCAGGAATGAAGAACATTCCTGGTACAGCTTGCTCAGTGGAAAAGTCATTCTGTTGCTTGGCAGTTAACTAAAACTAGGAGTGAGAAGACATAAACCACTGTATTTCCTTTGCAGATCCTATTGACCGAAGAGTTCGTAGAGAGAATGCTGGAAGATTTAGAAGATCTGAACTCTCCAGAGGAAGTAAGGCTGCTTCGTTCCTGCATCCCCACTGTATGCCCCAGAGAGCCTCACAGAACCTCTGAAGGCTTTGTGAGACGTTTACCTCTTCTATGGGATAGGGCACTGAGAGAAAGGATTGCAAGAAAAGCAGAGCAGTTTTGAGTATGAAGGGAGGTGCTGCACATCCTCTCCTTCAGCATCATTCCCCACTCTCTGTCTGGGCACTCTGACCCAAAGCAGCGCAGCCCCTGGGCCAGGTGTCAGGGTTTGCCTTCATGTTGTGGGTAACCTCCTCAGGAGCTCACCTCCTCCCCACTGCCAGAGCAGCTGAACGCAGTGGCAGCACATTTACTACTGAACAGTCTGTCCTTGGGGGCCTCCTTTTGGTTTGGGAACATTTTCATGTCTGTTCTTGGCCCTCACCTGCTGCCCCTGCAAGTCAGTGCACAGCGTGCAAAAGACCATCCCCAGCCTGAAAACGTTACAGCAGCGGCTGAAGGAGCTTTATAAAGCTTTGCTGTGTGGTGCTAAACTTCCCCTTGCCATGTGATCTCTTCCTGGGGAACATTTAACACCCTGTCTCCCATGCATGCCATATAAATATTCTGACTGACTTCAAAGAGCAGTGGCAAAAATGACATGTAATATTTTTAATCCCATTTTTTACAGCTCCCTGCAGACTCTAAAGAAACTTTCCTTGGCTTGTCGAGCAGCACTCCTATCCCTCGCCCCACTCCCCTCCCCCCAGGAAAATCTCAGGGCTCTAATTGTTTAATCCAGAGTTGATTTAATGCCAGGGTGTTCTTCGCTGTGAGAGTGAGGAGAGCACACTGCTGGCTGTGCAGGGACTTTTAGGCCAGCTTTTATCCAGTTAAACCTAATCCAAAGCTCATTTTGGCCAGTGACATGGAAGCCCAGGAGCGCTTGGTCGGAAGGCCCTTTAGTAGGGCTCTGGATTGCTCATGTTCCTGTGTGCCCTGCAGCGAGGTAAAGGCAGTGGGCATGGCAGCTTCTGGCACGGCAGCTGGCCTCTGAGTTACTGTGACTTTACTAAATTAAAAAGTGAAAAGCAAATGCAAAGGATGACTTCTCCGAGAGGATTGCTTTGGAACCACTCCTGCTTATGAGAAGGAAAATACTTGAGATGAAATGTGATCTTTCAGCGTTCAGATCCCTCCGAGGATTTGTATGTTACAGGATCCCAGTTTGGGCCAACTTAACACATTCCTCACAGCTCTGGCTGATGGTATTCATGCGATTGACCGAAGCTCTGTCCGTGCTGCAAGGAGAGTCTTCCTTTCGCTACGTAACAAGGCTCCCAGATTAAGTACAATATCTTTGTCTGAGTATCTTTAGCATGTTTTTTACATACTCTTGACCTTGAACTCAGGAGGATCCCCTAGGCTATACGGAACCACTGGATTACATGGTCCAAGCTATGCACAGGGACTGAGTTAAAGAAAGAAAAACTGAATGGTACTAAGTGGAATTTGGACTGTTTGTGTTTACTAGAGAAGGAAAAAGTAAAAGTTCTGGCGAGCCATTACCCTGAATGATCCTTCTGCCTTCCCTCAGATCATGGGTCAGGCCCAGAACCACCAGCCTGGCACATTAAGGTCAGTGGGTCCCAACTGCAAGTTACCCGTGTACAGAAGCTGTGCATGGAGCAAGGTCAGGAGCAAGTTCATAGCCCACTGCAGCCATCCTTCCTGTGGAGCAGATGTCTGCAGGGGAACTTCTCTAACAAGAACCTACCCTGAGCAGGTGTTGATGTCCTTCAGAATGAGGCTCTTATGGGAAGAGAGACAACGCACTGGATAAAGATGGATAACTGCAGGTCGTTTTCCCTTGCACAAGCTCTCTGTGTATGTAATAGCCCCTGTGCAGCTTCCAGCACTGCTGGCCTTGTACAGGGGGCTCACACAGGAAAGGATGGCTGTGTCTGGGGCAGTTCTGAAACAGCTGCCTCCATGTCCTGTGACTGCAGGTGGGGTAGGATCCTGGTGAGATTCCTCCCTGAGGATGCTGTAGAGGCATCAGGGATGAAAACTGAGTGCAGCAGAGATTTCAAAACAAAATCACCCTGCAAACTGATTTCCAGCCTTGTGTTCTGGCCTCTCAGAAGAGTCAGTGGGATTGCTTGGAATGCTGGGCCAGAAGTGGCTGTTCTGCTGCCATGTTACCACATACAAGCTTGAAGCCTTTATTAGTGCTGCATCTAGGATGTTTGCCTTTTTTTTTTTTACTTCTTGCACTCTTAGACGTGGCTTTGGCAGCTCAGCAGCGACAGCAAAATTCTAGTGACACAGAGGGGGAGCTTTTCTTGCTCCAGGATTGCACTTGTCAACCCACAGATGCCCCACAAGCTTCCCCTGCTAAGCAGCACATCTTTAAGTGCCTGCCCTTTGAACAAGAAGGCGATGGGAGGGTCTGGTCCATGTTAACCCCTGCATGACTGTCAATGCCAGGAAACAGCTATTATTGTTCCACTCTGTGATGGTTCAGTGCTGCCCTGAATCTCCCGCGCTGTCTGTGGCCCTGGTCAAATATGCTTCTCATGGGAACTCCTTGGATTTCTGTCCCTAAACAGTCATGTTTGGGATCCGGGATGTTCAGGTGCCTTCCCAGCCACTGGCTGGGTGTCCTGCAGCAGCATTAGGACAGGAGCCTTGCATTGTTTAGGAAACATCTGCCAGAAACACTGATGTGTAAACCAGGCTGGGGCAAAAATCTCCATTCCCTGTGCTTCAGTCAGTGTTTGCAAAACAGCCCAAGCAGCTGAGTGCGAATAGGAGGCATTGTGCGGGCGCTGTGCAAAGCCTTTGTGCAGGGGGTCAGGCTGGAGCAGAATTGCTGCTCAGGCATGCTGACCTCCCAGCCAGGGCTCCCTCCATGGACGGCCATTTGCAAACCCTCTCAGTTCTGCCCTCAGCAGGGCTCACGCACACCCCACCCTGTGCGGGCAGGGCCCCACGAGCTGCCAGAATGCTTCCTCTGATGAAAAGTGGGGCTCTGGAGAGGAGGTGGAGGGAAAGGGACATAGCCAAGTGGAAGGGGAGAAAAAATGCACTTGTGCTGTGAATTTTCAGCAGATCGGGAAGGGGAGATGGTGATGGGAGCAGAAACCCTCCGGAATCCATCTGATGAAATAAACAATGCTTGGGCTGAAATCTCATAACTTTACTTTGGCAGCTGAGGCACAGGCCACATTATCTAATGTCCACTGCTGTCCAAAACATACTGATGGGGAAATGTTTTCTTAGTGGCCTCTTGTTTTAAGTAATAATAATAACACAGGGCCGCCTGCCTTTGTACCCATTTTGTGGGCTTTTTTTTCCTGTGGGTTAGATTGCAGTGATATACATTAACTGGTTCTCTGTATTGTCTTACAGTTTAAACTTCCAAAGGAGTACAGCTGGCCTGAAAAGAAACTGAAAGTCTCCATCTTGCCAGATGCTGTGTTCGACAACCCACTGCATTAGAGCTGAATTACACCCTTCTAACAACTGGGAGAGCCAAGTTACTGTCCATTACCCAGTGACTCACAGGATAATTAATGCAGTAAAAACTCTGCCTGCAAATAAAAGAGTTTGCTGCACAACCACTGCAAACAGAAGAGGAGCAACTCAGCACCAGCCCAGACCGAACTGAGCCTTTTCTTTTATCCTTCCCAAGGCTGAGCTCTCTGGGAACAGCCTGCGTATGTGTGAGTGCGAGTGAGAAATATTTAACTATGAAAATTAGTCGTAAGAATCCTTTCTCTCTCTTAGCTACAGAACTTCCCTCTGCCTTAGCCCAGGGTGTAGGCGCTCTGCACGCCTGTATTTACACATGCATTCTGCCAGGTGCAAGCCTATAATCCATGGATTAAATGTTCTTTACGTGACTCTGGAGTCCTTTTGTTAGCCAAACTTTTACTGACTGCAGAACTGTTCTTCCATGTGCTATTTTTTTTTTCTTTTCAGAAACAGAATGGTATTTCCCCTGTTTAAAGGAGGCCAAAAGCTCACATGCTTGAAGCTGAACAGATTTAAAGATGAACTTTCTAGTTCAGTCAAGAAAAACAAACCCAGATACTCCCTGCCCTCAAATTAGGCATGTTTTAAGTGTTAGTGTTGGTGCTATTAGCTATGGTATCGCTGCAAACAGAGGCAACTTTATTCTCACGCATCCTGTCCTTGTGCCTGAACCCCAGGGAAGGTCACAACCTCTGGTTTTGCACAAGCAGGAGGAAGAAAGCTACCGGGGCGGGGGAGATCTCCTGTTTACAGTGTGTTTATCTTTAAAGAGATACTGTCAAGTATTTTTTCTTTGCTATTGTACAGTATTGGAGAAGCTAGAAAGAACCGTTTGTTCAAAGGGCAACTTCAGCAGCTCTGCAGGATCCATTGGGGAGGCTCAGCCTCAGTAAATCCAACTGTTCTTGTCACTATGGGGGTTGTGCCCTATCGCAGCTCCGCTTTCCCCTCCAGCCTTGCAGTGATGGCTCTTGTTGCAGCTGGTGTCCCTCCGTTTGGGTAGATTTGGACTGAAAAGCATCAAAAGCAGCTTGAAAAAGCCCCCTCCTCTAGATCTGTATGGCCTCTCGCCCAGAGCCAAATGTGGTGTGCAGAGGACACAGTCTGTTCGCTCATGTTGTGTCCCTGCATGCTGGCCCCTGTGTTTATGCTGAAGCAGTCAACCACAGGCTTCACCCCCTGCTGCTGCTGCAGGTTGTTCCTGATGCATATTCCCCCAACCCTTCTTTGCCCATTGTCTTTCAGTGGCAACTTTTCTCTCCTTGTCAGAGGAGATGCAGCTTTCTCTTCCACCCTTTTCTGCCAATTTAGCTTGGCTGTTTCTTCTTCCCGAGTTGTGCACAATTGCCAGTTGCTGTGTGATCTTAATACAAGTGTAACAATAGCTTTTAACACTTAACTCACCTGATCAAACAGCAAAGTCCAGGAGGCCTCTTGGTACCCCAGGCTTGGATTTCTGTTTGTTTTTTCTTCCTGGCACAGACGGCTTTAATGTTTTTTTGCATATATTTGAGGCTGGTTAATGCTGGTCAAGAAGCAGAGCTAGGAGCCGCAAAGCTTTCCTTGGACTTGCTACAGAAATCCTCTGTGGCCTCAGGCAAGTCACTCAATGTGTCTCCTTGCAAAGAGGGTGATTATTGACTAGAGGGCTGTAGGACCTACCGAAGCATGCCAGGGTTTGCAGGGGAGGGCGTGCTTTGTGTACAAAGTAGTATTTGTATTATTATAATTGTTGTTATATTATAATTTAAGGCAGGCCAAATGCAGGGTCCAACACTGCTCAGCAGAACCTTCCTTTCTGCAAAGCTACGAAAGCAATTTACATGTAAATGAGTTTGTCATTTTGTCTGAACTCAGCGGATCATCTTAAAATCCTGCTGTGAAAGAACAAACTTTCAGATATCTGCATGTACCAGCCAGAGTGATTTCTGTGCTGTGGCAGACTGCATTCATCCATGGGATCTATTGGCCAGTATTCATTGTCCTGGTTCACACTAAGCCTGCACAAGCCTTCTGCACTCAAGATGCATATCCAGGGCTGCAGAACATGGGAATCTACCAGTCCAGCTTCAGAAATGGTATCCCCAAGCATCCTGCCACAAGATAATGAACAAACAGACAATTGTGATGGTCAGAAAAAGGGCAGGGAGACTACTAGAATACTGTCCCAAAGCCATCTACCAGCAGTAGCCCATGGACTGCTCTGGTATGGGCTTGCTGAGGGCGCTTGAAGCAGCACTGGCCCGTCACCATGAGGCTGACTGCTCTTCTTTTTCTCCAGATGCTAGCTCTCATTACAAGGAGCTTAAAGTCCACATCTTAGTGGAGAAGGGGCGTTTGGAAGGTCAGCTGTTGCTCTTCCTGCAGAGATCGGCACAGGGCAGAGAGAAGTCCATCAGAGCTCTCTGGGTCTCACACATCTGGAAGGCTGAGGACCTCCTGTCCTTTGACCTCTGGGAGCCTTTGAAGCAGGGCAGGTGGCTCCTCCAGGCTGCCTTGTGCTCCAGTTCTGCCTATGCATATATTTTCCTCACCATATTTACTGTCATCAGACGCTCTGGGTTGGGTTTTCATTGACTTCAGAGGGAGCACACTGAATGCATTTGAAAATCCACCCAGTATACTTTGTGTGTGTGGGTTTTTTTTGTTCTGTGTCATGTATTTATATATAGTTCTGTGTATTGAGTTATGAACAGGTGGCATGCCAGAAATCTCTATTTCTGCAACATTTTCTCAACAGATCTTTGCCAGTATCCGGATAACAATTATGGAGAAGATTTCAGGGGAAGGAAGTGAAATCTTCCCTTTTAGCTAAGGGGGAAAATACTAGACAAAAGTTAACTGCTAAAATAGAAGACACTCTTACTGTTAGACCAACTAAATGAGAGAAACTGGTGAAAGTCGACCCTTCAGCTGCAAGGCTGTGCTGCTGCCTCTCAACAGTTTTCAAGTAAAAGAAAGTTGCATGTTGTTTGGCGTTGTGAGGAGCTGTGCACCCACAGGACCTCCCCTCCCCCGATTCGCTTCAAGTTTGCAACCATGCCAAAGGCTTACTCATTGGCAACTAAATGAGATCTCGAGTTTGGATATTTTCATCTTGGGGCAAGAGGACATGCCTGTGTGTGAAGGAACTGGAAAAGAAACCTTTGTATTTTAGTGAGCGAATAGTTTTAAAAAGGAAAGTGCATCAGTGTTCATAAATGCCATGCTATTTTCTAGCCCCAACCTGCTGAGGTAGTAGGTCTACTGGTGCTGATTTTTCTTCTAGATTGTGTAAAAGGTCTGAAGCAGGATTATATGAAGCCAAAACCCATGAGGCGTCTGTTGTCTAGAGATTGCGATCTGGATATAAATGTCAGTTTAAAATAAGTGGGTACAAGTTTTCTCTCTCCTGGAGAAATCTCATGATGCAGTGAGGTAGGGGTATTTCCAAAGATGAAGAGCCTCGTGGCCGATCTGCAATGCCTTGAAAATGCAACATGTGACAGCAGTGCTGGAACAAGGGAAGTCCCAAAACCCAGGACTGCTTTCCTCTCAACTTGTGATTAAAAACAGAAGAAAGATTGTATAGTTTCAGCATGTGGGATGTGACCTGGGCAGAGCAGTCGGTCTTGTAGCTGGAGTGACCTACAGTGATATTTTCAGTGGCTTCGTTAGGTGGTGCCTGCTGTGTGTAATATCTTTGAGGATGGTGATATATTGGTTTTACTGTACGTAGATATGCCAGCAGTGATTTGAAGTGATATTCTGAAGCTCCTCGCTTCAAATATTCAGTTGCTCTTGGATGACTTTTGAAATGACACCATTGGGTCATCAAATGGTCTTTGAAGAAGTGGGGATTTTGTTTTTCATCTGCGACCAGTAGAAATATTTAGGAGGTGTAGCTTAAAAAAAAAAAAAGTTGAAAGCAGAGCTTGGCTAGGAGAGAATGGATTGCCGGGGAGAGGCTGCGTGCTGGAGGCAGGTTAGCAGCCTCCCTTGCACCCACAGCTGGGGCTTCTTTGAGGCAGCACAATCCTTTGTGCCATCTCAGCGGGATGCAGGGAAGCTGGAAACCAAAGGGAGCGTCACTGAGCTGCCATGGTCCCTGTGGACAGGTCCTCGTGTCCACACCACTACCTACTGCAGTCCTGTGTGGGGTGAGGACCTGGCTGTGCGCATCCCACTGCATGTTCACACCTTGGCCTGTGCCCATTGCAGAGGGTGTGGGCTGTGAATGACTGTGTTAGCTCAGAGATGGGGAATGGCGATGCAGCTGCTTCTGAATCATTTGGTTTTTTAATGAGCGTGGGGCAGGGAGTGGAGCTCTCGCTCCGCTGCCCCCCACGGGAGCCCCCAGGCTGGTCACTGGGCCAGCATTATTGCTCACCCAGCATCCGTTCGCTTCATCAAATGTTCCCCAGCTCCTCACAAAAACCTCTCTGAGATGCTTCACTGAGGATGTTGGCTGGCTGCATGCTTCTCATGCTGGTTGGAGGACGCGTCTGCCTGGAGACGCAGCTGCTTGAGTGTCTGTCTGCCCTGTGGTCATCACCTCCTAGGCAGGCATCCAGAGCTTGTGGACCGCTTTGCAGGCTTGCATCTGGCTGAAGGCAAGGCAGCACCACACCAGTGCAGAGACATTCAAGGTCAAGCTGGACAGGGCTCTGAGCACCTGATGGAGCTGTAGGTGTTGCTGTTCATTGCAGGGGAGTTGGACCAAATGACCTTTAAGGGTCCTTTCCAACTCAAACCATTCTATGAGAACCTTCAGGCCCGATGGGCCCAAAGACCCACGCGCCTCATTTTGTCCTAGCCTGGACACAGCCCCGCAGTGCTGCTGGGTGGAATCCTGGCCTTCAGCTCGTGTGCTGCTCCTGAGTGAGCGGGGGTCACTGCCGGCACCAGGACAACCGCCACGCTCAGGAGGTGATCCTGTGCAAGGGTCCTCCTTCACATCCCATATTGTGCCTTAATTCTCCCTTCAAGTGACGCTGTGAGGGCAGATGAGCTGTCAAGCAACTGGGAATCCCTCTCAGTGCATCTGTCCCCATCGATAAAAGCAGGCTTGCCCAGAAGCCAGACTGCATCTAAAACAAGCTCTACATGTGCGCATCCCGAGATGTTAAAGCTGAACTTAGGTCTCTGGGACCAGTTCTGAACAAGCTCTGTAGCAACCTACTATTTTTGTAACATTTTTTTTCTGTTGTGCAGTGCCTGCTTGTCCTCTTAAACAAAAACAAAAAAAAAGCAAAACAAACCAGCTTGTGCTCGACACCAGTCCAACATTTCAAGCAGAGAAGCCCGAGATTGCGCAGGCTGTGGACCTGCCCGTGGGGCTCCCCTAAACACAGTGTCCCCTTGACACTGCCGACAGGCCCCATGGCCCTCAGCTTGCCATGAAGGGAGCCCGGCCCCTCGTGGGCTCAGCGGCCCTGGGCTCAGCTGCGCACGTGAGGCCCTACTGCAGCCTACGAGCACCGCTGCTGCTGTTTATACTCCAGCCATAACGCTGCGTCTCCTCTCCGTTAATAAAAAAGAGGAAGAGAGAGGAAAAGAAACAGCCTGTCAAAGCTGGAGGAAAATTCCCTGCCGATTGTTGTGTTTTGCAAACACTGCTCTTTTCTCTCGGCCTGTCCCTCCTCTCCCCGGCGAAGCTGGAGATCAAAATGGCTCCTTTGTTCCTGTCCCTGGGGCCCAACCGCAACGAAAGAGCAGCTCCGGAAACACTGCGCTGCGCGCACAGCGCACGGCGGCGAGGGTGGGAGGGCCGGCGCCGCGCTGCAGGTCCTACAGCAACGCGGTGTGCCCGGCTGGGTGCGGCAGCCCCGTGCGCGCCCTGCTGTCTGTGCTGCCCTGATTCCGCAGCCCCGGGGCCGTGGGTGCTTCCCGGCCTCGCTCCGGCCCCACGGGGGATTTCAGCCCTTCACACCCGTCTCCTTCCCACCCGTGCTGGTGTTTCTTACAGCGGTGTTTCTTACAGCGGTGCGGGGTGCAGGCTTTGCTGGTCGGCGCGGTGCTTTGCATTTCAGAGGGTTTCTGCACAACTTCCCGGGGGGACCCGGGGACACGTGTTGGGACCTTGGAGATGGCCTTTCTCCTCCTCCCCACCCCCTTTTTTCTTTTTTTCTTCCTTTTTTTTTTTTTTTTTAAATAAAAGACAAAACAGAAAGCTAAACTAGCAGAGGTTTTTAAATATTTTATATTAGTTTCTAATGTAAATTCTTACATTGTTATTTCAGTGCTGGGTATGTTTCACCTGCACGTGACTTTTGTAATATTTTTGTGAATCACTAAACGTTTTCTCCTCCCGTGTATCCTAAGTGCATTAAAGGTATTTGCATACTTCTCGGTGTCCTTCTCTGTGGGGGCTGTGATGAAGCAGACCTTTGCTAACGTTACGATGATTTCCCAGTAACACTGAGCGGTTTTGCTGTAATCTTTCTACACTCCTCTGTAATAAATTTTTTTAAGGCCAGAGGGGGAAGGGTGGAAGTTTGATGTGGGGAAGGGAAGGGATGTGCAGGGAGCTGGATGGGTTTTGCTCTTGTTCGTCCCAGGACGTTGTCTTGGCCATCCCTGTGTGAAATAGAAGCAATGAGCGGATGGCTGCGGCCGGTTTCCTTGCCCCAAACTCCATGTGCCATCTGCCTCCCAGGCCTCGAAGCACTGTTCATTCAGACAGCCCGGCAAGGACAGCACTGGGAACCTCCCCTCTGGCACCCAGTTAATCATTGCAATGCATCAAGGCTGTGCAGGAGATAAGCAGAGCGGGAGGGGAGCTCCGGACCCCACAGCACCGGGATCAGAGAGAACCTCCATTGTCCCTTTGCTTGGCACATCCTGGCCGATGCCGTGTCCTGCCCCGAATCCCATGGAGCCAGACCTGGGTGCCCCTCCTGCCCACAGCCCTCGCCCAGCCCCGTGCCCCACCGTGCTGTGCTGCCCAGCCAAAAGCACCTTCGGGCGGTGAATTTAATTAAGGTTTGTGAAAAGCGGTGTCTGGGAGCCCCTCCTGGATCTGCGGCTCTGAACTTCATTAGGAGTGGTTTGTTGCTAATAACGCCGGCAGCTCCTCTAATTAATAATGGAAGGGCTGTGAGCAGATGCCAAGCCAGGAGAGGGAAGGGATTTGTTTGTTTATTTCTCTCCTTTTATTTTTTTTTTTCCTTCTTCCACAGTGTGCAGGGAGGGCTGGGGCATGGTTCCCAAAGTGAACGGCAGCACCGGGGACCTTGACATGCAGGAGGATGCAGAATAGGGAATGGGGTCCCCATGGCAAGGGGCTCGTGGCCACAGTGCTGCTCCTTGCCCACCGATTCCCCTCCAGTGCTGATGTCACCACAGGGAAAATGAAAAAGAGGGGTTCAGGCTCAGGAATTGTGAAGGGGCTGCCTGCAGGCTGCAGCCCGACAGCATTGCGAGGTGGTGGGAATCCCAGTCATTGCCTTAAAAGGAGATTTCGGAGACTTATTTGAAATTGTTTCCTTGTTATTCAGCTTATTGAGAGTTTAATTTCATTATTTGCAATATGACGTGAGGGGCTGTAGATGTGCTACCCGCACAACTAACAGCTATGGCCAAGGACGTTTCTGTGGATTTGGGGCCAGAGGGACCACTAAATCATCCCATCTGACCTCCTGTATTCGGAATTTCACCCAATTACTTGCATTGGGCCCAACAACTTGTGTTTTTGATTCAGGCATGCGTTCCAGCAAGACATCCTGTCTTCATTTGGTGACTTCAAGCGATGAAGAATCCACCACTCACTTCCCCTCATTGTTTGTCCCAGTGGTAAAAACACACGAGGAAAAAACCCCACTGCCGACTTATTCTGGATTTGGATGTGTCTGGCTCACACCAAACCAGGGTCATTCCATTCCCTTTCATCATCACAAAGTGACAAGGACAAGGGGGCACCACGGCACCCGCATTGCCCTCAGCTGCCCACACGTAGGTGTGCAGCTGAGCAGCAATGAACCCTGGCAGCCCTATTGGTCTGCCGTTGGCGAGCAGCTCAAGAGTTAACCAACTTCCACCAGATGTGACCAACATGTCAAGACACGAGAAGTATGTGGTATGGATGTTTATAAGTACATCGACAGAAGGCATTCATAAAAGGTTATAAACCGTGGTAATAAGCAACCCATCAACTTGTTTGGACTCTAACACTTGATTAACCATTTATTAAAACACGCAGTAATCATTTATAAGCCGTAAGTGGGACCAAATGCAATGCACGACTCTCTCAGTGTTCATGGATGCCTCCACAATTCCCTTTACCCTGTGCTGTGTGTCCATGGCTAAAGGCTCACCGCCGCCACCAGGCACTCCGTCCCCACTGCCCCCTCTGTGCAAGAGCCCCCAGGCATCCCTGTCCCCATCAGGCACAGGATGGGACCCCAGGAATGGTGGCAGTAGGGGACCCAGTTTGGGGACCTGAGCCCTAGGTGAGGGGCAGAGCCCCACTCCCTGCAGTCCTGACCCAGTGGTATGGTAAGGGAACTCAGACACCACAATGGCTTCATGCTTCTCTCAACAGGACCCTCCTCGTTGTTTGCCATCGCACTCCTGCTGCCCTCAGAGCAGCCATGTTTTCCTTCTCGGTGTCCTAACGAGACCTAAACCCATAATTGCTCCCATTACACAACCAGGATTGACATTTTATTAGCAATGCTTCCTGACCTAATTTACGCTGATACTGTCGTGCTCTTCCCATGGCTGTGGGCAAACAAAAGCAGTGCTTTTGAGCACTGCAGATGCATGGGCTGTAGGCGAGCACCTGCCTCAGTTTCCCTGCACCAAGCAGGGACATGGGTTTGCACAACAGCAGATGCTGCCTGCAGCCCTAGGAACAACACATGGCTGTTCAAAGGAAGCTCAGTAGCGGCCCGGCGGGGGGCTTTTTAGCATGCGTGTGGTGCCGGGTCATTTGGCTGTAGCCTGCTTTAATTGCATGGAGCATGCAGAAAAGGAAGAGGGAGGATGAGAATACTGCTCAGGAGCAAAGGTTTGCCTTGGCTTGGATGGGATCCTGCCCTGCTCCTGCTCTTACCATCCCACAGGGGCAAGGCAGCCTTGTGCCGCAGAGATCGAGGTGTGCAGAAAAGGCTGCAGGGAGGGATGCTGGGGCCACGGTCCTGACCAATCTATGTCAGCCCCATGGCTTCTGGGGACGTGGCACAGCTCAGCCCTGGGCAGCCACCAAGGATCACAGAACTCCATGTGAGCAGAGCTGCTGTCCAGAGAGCTTCATTTTGGGGGAAGCAAGGAGGAGCCTGCCTGGCCACCCGCCTCACTCGCTCTCGGAAAGGAGGGAAAGAAAATCGTTCTGTCTTTTTTTATTGTTGTTTGTTTGGATTTTTTTTTTGGGGGGGGGGGGGGGGGGGGAGGGGAGAGGGGGGAGGTTTGTGGTTTTGACGCAGTTTCCTGAAAATCCTGCCTCATCCTGCCAGGGGCTGAGCAAATGCACATCCCAGGCCTCTGCGGTGGGGGAGAGAAGGAGAGAAAAGCAACGAGGGAGAGAAAAAAGCCTTTGCCAAACTGGCCTGACCAGAATGTGACACAAGAGCAGGAAATGAGTCACTCGGCAGGGCAGCTGCTCGCAGGCATTTCCATAGAAAGAAACCCCACCAGGCAGGGGAGCCGTGCTGCCCTGTTCCTAGCAACCCCAAGCTTGGATAGAGCACTGAGCATCAGTGGCATCCCCATGTGGATGGGCTGCCCCACATCTAGTTGGGCAACCTGAGCTCCAACCCCAGGCTTGGTTTTTCCACTTGGAGTTGGACATTCCACCCTGGATCTACCTCAGGATGAAGGAGATCTCCAGTGTTTTCTTTCCACCATTCTTCAGCAGAGCAGAGGGGTCCACAGCCCAACATAATTTCTGTACATCCCATGCCTCTGACACTCTGTGGTGTGACCTCAGCCACCTCCTGCGGGCTTCAGGTGTTGGGTTCCCCTCCCAGGACATTTTTGTTCCTCCCACCTTCCCCTCACCTTGCTGTCTGCTGCCTGGGGAAGGGGCAGTCCACAAGATGTGCAGCACACCAAGCAGGCCCAGCTCAGCCCCAGGAGCTGGGGTAGGTTTTGTCATTCACAATGTTGGTTTTTATCGTGGCTCAGAGGAAATCTCAGGAGTGCGGTGTGTAGGCATATTGTAAACCTAGGTAGGGATGTTCCCCATCCCAAAATGTTTCCCATCGACGTGAGAGGAGAAAGAGATAGGCAGAGAAGTAGGACAGGAGACCCCAAATCTAAATAAAGCTGAGGGGAGCTGATACCCATCACTCTGCCTCTTGGCAGAGGCGTCCTGAAAAGGAACGCACAGAAAAACTCCGACCATCTGAGCCGGGGTGTACTGCAGGATGCTCACTATGCAGCAGGGAGAGGGTTGATTCATCACTGGGGCCATTGAGATCTGAGGGCTCTAGACAGGTCCGTGGGTCCATGGCTGCAGTTAGGAAGTCCTGCTCTATCCCTGCCAACCAGTTTGAAGTCTTTTGTGACCTCCTCACCGGTGGGAAATGGGTTAACACCAGCCACATGCTTTATTCCCTGCGCGTTTGGGGCCGGATGCACCACATCCCGCACAACAGCTGCAGAGCCATTTGGTGAGAGAGCTGTCAGGGGGACAGCCGGCTGCAGAGGGACCCCATGGGACAAATGGCTGCTGCTGGCATCGGGAGCACCCGGCCCCAACCTGACAAGGGGTGGGACCCCTCCCTGGAGCCCAACTACCCATGCACCAGGCAGGCAGTAGGGCCAGGCTATGTGCCAGCTGGGCCCTGGCCTGCATTGCTGATTGCTGGTTGGGATGTCCTGCATGTCACCAGAGGTGGGACTGGGAGTCTCTGGGATGATGGTGGTGCTGAGGTGTGCAGCTCGGTGCAACAGTGGCAGGGACAGCCTTCACTTTGGAAGAGCAAAAGGACAGGCCCCAGTGAGCTGTCCTCCCTTGAGGCAGCTGTTACCCACATCTGCATCTGAGTGTATCTCTGTACACTGTGTGCGTCTGTATCCCCATCTCCGTTCGCATTTCCATCTCCATATTATCCCCAACCCTATGTCATTCCCACTCCATTTCTATCTCATCACCATCCCCACCCAAATCCCATTCTCATCTCCATCCCGTTGCATCTGCATCTCA